TTTTAAGCTCATTAAAAAAATATTTTTAACTTTTTAGTTCGATTTTCTTTAAAAGCGTGTTTTTTAATTTCAAAACTATCATGTACACTCCAACATGACGGCCGTAACTTGAACTAAACGAGGGAATTCAACCAAAAATTTTGTTCAAAATTATGAGAAAGTAAGTTTTCAAAACACTCCATATTTCAACATTTCCTTGATAAAATACAAACCTTACATCCAACATCCAATAAATTTGGAGGTAATAAACTGAATGGCAAGTGAGTTTTTATGAATCTCTTTCCTGGCGAATCAGAAAGGAATTTCCAAGCAGGGTAGTCAAGAATATCCACCATCTGGTATTTTTCGAAATCATCTCTATTTTCGTGAAGGAATTTTGCTTTGGTTTCTTTGTGTACGAAACAACTGAATCTGAAACAAAAAGTCAGAATAATTCATTGAAGGAAAAGTGAATGTATAACTATTGAAAGATCAATTACAACAGGCAAAAAATCAGTGGGTTTTATACGATAAACAAAAATGATATTACATAATATTGAAAGGAAAGTGCTTCGCGCAACTTATTGAAGACAATAATTAAATTGAAATTTTCTTCCACTTACAAACGAACAAAATTCCAAATGAACACAACGGAGTGAGCACAAAACCATATTCAAACCATACATATTTGGCAGTTGGTGATATCCTTCAAGACAAACAATAATAGAATAATAATAATAATCTATTATATGGTTGGCTCCTGCATTTGTATTTTTAACTTTTTGTTTTTGAAAGGCAATACGCTAAAGTCATTCAAAGATGAGTTGGATTCGGTTTATGTGAACTCTGCATCATCATTTACCACAGTGGAATTTTGGGCAGCTGAAACTGAACGTGGTGGGAGACGATGAACGTTTGGGATGCCAAAAACTGCAACCACCCACGAAAACATCGCAAAAGTTCACCAAATGGTGCTAGACGACTGCCGAATTAAAGAAAAAAGAACCAAAAAAGAAAAAACTGTTTTCCGGCTGGGAAAATGATGGTGACTGTTTTATGGGATGTTCATACCATTATACGCCCGAAACAAAAATACAGTCCAAACGGTGGACTGCAAAGGGGATACCGGCACCAAAAAAGTAAAAACGGTTTTCCGCCTGGAAAAATGATGGGGACTGTTTTTTTGGGATGTTCTTAGAGTTATTTCAATTGATATCTTTAAAAAGGAAAAACCATTGCCATTACTATGCATCATTACTTGACAAGCAGAACAGAATCGCTGAAACACGGTCACATTTGCAGGAATGAAATCCTGTTTCGTCAAGACAATGCATCGTCTCACACGTCAGGGGTTGCCATGGCAAAAATCCACGAATTACGGTTTGAATTTCTTGACCATCCGTCTCAATCAGCAGATCTAGAGCCAAGCGACTCCTTTTTGTTCCCTCATCTAGAAATTGCCTTCGGAGCACAGAGATTTCCATGGAAAGAAGAGGCAATCACCTTCGTGAATAATTATTCCGCAGAGAAAAACGCCGAATACTTTGGACGGGTTACATGAAAAATCTACAAGGTGTCGATATCATTCATGTATCAGCACATCAAAAACATGTCTATCTAACTGCAAAATTTCACGAAATGATATAACACATGGATCAATAAGTCCCGAGACTAACAATGAAAACAACATTTTTTTTACAAAATTTTTTTTTATTCATCAACATAATCTCCTTTTAGGGTGATACAATGGTTCCAACGCTTTTCCAATTTTTCAATACCATGTTTATAAAAAAATGTATCTTTCGCTTCAAAATAAGTAAACTACAAAACGACTTTACTCTAACCTCGATAACTCAGCTGTTTCTGGTCCGATCGACTTAAAATTTCGACACGTTTCAAGCAAAGGTTAGTACTCTAGAAAGACGTGGTTACTGGTTTACTAAGAGCGCCATCTCTGGGTTAGTCTCGGGACTTATTGATCCATGTAGCACCTACACGTGTTGTGAATTTGGAGGGCTATGACAATACGACATGGATGGTTCCCACATTCGACAACAACGAAAGTGTCTCACCTTGTATGCATCACATTCGTTGTCCACAGACACTGATGATGCAGAACGCAGTGGAAGTCCAAATGAGGCAGTATCATCAGAAAACATAAAACATCAACAAAATCGTTTTGAATAATCGAAAGTGAAGTTGCGCGAGTTAGCTAAAATTGCAAAGTTATCAAAACAATGTTTTGGCCTTATATTGCATGAGCATTTGACTAAGAGAAAGTGCTGTTCAAAGTTGGTGCCGCGTGAGCTCACTGTTGAATAAAAAAATAAAGTCTTGATGATTCTGAGTAGTGTTCGGCCATGTTTAAACATAACAAACCGGAATTTTGCGTCGATATATGACAATGGATGAAATATGGATACATCAATCCACTCAGAAATCAAGAGTCATCTACGACCGAAAGCACAGCAATCAGCTGGAAAGGTTATGGCCTCAGTATTTTAGGATGTGCGTGGTGTAATATTCATCGAGTATCTTGAGAAAGAGTTCTGCAAGAGTTCTGGCTCATTTCTTATGGAAAAACACGTGCAAATTTGCGAAGGTCCATTCTGGCGATTTTTGGACCTCAGGCCCACTTCACACGGAAGGGGCAAAGGTCAGCGCCTCGTCTCTGCCAGACGTCCATTATGTGTAAACTGAGCTTCAGCGTTCAAAGCCCACTTCAGACCACCTCCACTTCTCCACTTTTACTCTCATTCAGTCGACCATTCAGCTACCGCGCATACAGCGGGAAATTCAAATCAGTAGATGAACAAGGCAGGTACGAGCCCAAAACCCCATGTATTTTCTTATGGAGCTGAACTTTTTGCAATTTTTGGTTCAAACAGGAGTGGGGGAAACGTGTGACGTCATCGACGCAGGATGGAATGAGTATCGTAGCGATTCAAGCGTGGAACTCCGCCCCTCGGCCCCCTTAGTAGTACGCCTCACCTATCAGCCCCCTTAGTAGTCCGCCTCACTTATCGGCCCGCTCTTGCGACTCTGCCTCACCCCTCGGCCCCCTTGTCACGTTACTGTCACGTGATTCTAATTAAAATAAGTTTATAGTTATGAGATTGGAACCCAGGACGTTCGCGTGGTAGATATTGTCCTTGGCCTCTACACCAACGTAAGATATTGAAAGTAACTGATTCTATCACTTTCGCGCTTTCAATTTTCATTGGTCGTTCATGCTTCATTTCAAAACCGGCAACGCTACATTGCCCCATAAACAACGATAAATTTTACAACCGGCAACACCTGCTTGCGATCGGAACGTAAAACATCGGTACCATTTTCATCTCTCTTTGCCTCGATTACGTCATACGCGTATCTCGCTCATACACACACATACACATCTTTGTATGAAATATTTATTCTTTCCCAAATCTAAGTATATTTTCCTATCTTCAACATGATAATGATGATTACAACTTCCGTAACATTCCAAGGAAATCAACAAAATGCGGTCAAGTATATGAAATGAGTCAATTTCGGACCCGACAAAACTAACTCTATAAATATCCAACATTCCCAATTACTTTTAATATCATACGATGCTGAAGAGGTAGAGGCTAAGGACAATGTCTACCACGCGGACGTCCTGGGTTCCAATCTCATAACAATAAACTTTTTTTAATTAGAATCACGTGACTGGAACGTGACAAGGGGGCCGAGGGGTGAGGCAGAGTCGCAAAAGGGGGCCGATAGGTGAGGCGGAGTACTAAGGGGGCCGAGAGGCGGAGTTCCACGCTTGAATCGCTACGCTACTCATTCCATCCTGCGTTGATGACATCACATGTTTCCCCCACTCCTGTTTTTGAAGACTAAAGCTCAGTTTACACATAATGGAAGTCTGGCAGAGACGAGGCGCTGACCTTTGCCCCTTCCGTGTGAAGTGGGCCTGAGATCCAAAAAACGCCAGAATGGACCTTCGCAAATTTGCACGTGTTTTCCCATTAGGAGTGTCATAGAACTCTTGCAGTATAACTACTACCATCAACAGTGAATATTATATATCGTTATTGGAGAATTCGAAGGCCGAAATCGCGAAATTGATTAATTATAAAGAAAGTGCTGCTTCATAAAAACAATGCACTGTGTCACGAATCAATGAAAACTATGGCAACATTGCATGAAATGGACTTTGAATTGCTCCCGCATATACCACATTCACCAGATTTGGTTCGCGGCGACTGCTGGCTCAGTACAAATCCAACTTCACTGTTTAAAAACTCTTTCATTTGAAGAACGTTTTTCCGAATGGATTTTAACTCTAGCGATTCAAATTCAATATGAATTGCTTCGTTCGCACAGTCACCGCTCTAAGGGCGTCTTAACAATTTTCCTGTAGGGCTTGTATTTTGTACTTGAAAAAAATTATTGCAATGTGAAATAATGCGGAGTATAAGCATTTTCAATCTGTAATATCTTCGAAAAATATTCACTTGAATTACATTATCAATTGGATAAGAAATAATGCTCTATTGCTTAAAATAGCTTGGTTGAAAAGTTGAGATACATAATGGTTATTGTGGATTATCCCTAAGAGATAGACATATACCATCGCGGATTTTTTTGTAGACCTTCTCAAGGTGTACAATACTGAAGTAAATTTTTGATCTATCTCTAAGGGTTCAGCCAGCGTTTGCAATTCGAGCATAAAAAAATGTGTTTATTTACATCACATTAGAAACCTCTAAAATTATCAGTGTTTTTCCACTATATTATGCATGTTATTTACATATAAACCTTCCCCTTGAATCACTCTATCTAAAATAAATATAGTTTTGAAAAACTAAAAAATGCGCTTAATTTTTCGATTTTTTGAAATATTTAAGTAACTGAATTTTTTAGGTACGATTTACGATAAAGTTTTCATTGTTGAAATCCATATTCTGGTTTGCTTTCAAATAATCGAATTAGATTTTGAAATATATCTTCCGTTTCGTTCAAAACTTTTTTCTGTAGTGAATCACGGGTAATTGAAAATATTCAAATATCTAAATATTTCATCTGCAGTACAAAATTCTTATAATTCTTAAAATATGTTTCTTATTTTGATTTTCTTTTGAACAACCTACCAAGGAGGTTACCTACAGCGCCATCTGCCCACGAATAGATTAATAAATATCTAAGAGGTTACGTACAGCGCCATCTGCCCGTGAATAGATCAAGCAATAATGCGGATAATTCTGTCAATACAGATCTCGAGCTTGAGAGTTACAAGCAAACATACATACAAACAAATATACATACATTCATATATACAGGTGAAGCTAATATAAGGCGTATAAAAACTGTTTTTAATTAAATACATCAAAATAGTTTTTTTACTATTGTAATGCATAGTTCGAATGTGAAAGAAAAATGTAATATTTGAATATGAAATACTCACTCTAGAAATGGAAAACGTTGCCATAGGGAAATTTCGGCTGCTTTTTGATAATTCAAATCGTTCGCAAGTAACCAAACCAGTTCCGTCATCCAAGTGGTTCCTGTAAAATGTAAAAACATGTTGAACTATTTTTAGAAAATCTCCAATTCGTATTAAATACGAAAAAATAATGAAATGGCGATGGAAAATCATTTTTCCTAGACATTTTCTAGGCCCTGAGATCGTGTTGAAAAATATTTTTTTGAGAGTATGGATTCGATCTTGAGTCGAGATGTTTTTTTTAGTTTCTAATACCTTTTCCAATAATTTAAGAATGGTAAATAACAGAGATAATTGCGGGCTTCTTCGGAAAAAACAATGTGGACTTGTCATTTAGAACACATGCCAGGTTATTTGATTTCCTTTTCAATGCCAAGGATAAAGTGGACAAGTTTGAGAAATCTGGAGTTTATCAGCTTAGGTGTGTGGAGTCTAATAGTGTTTATGTGGGACAATGTGGTCGAAATTTCCAAAAACAGTATGCTGAACATGAAAGGTCCTTCAGACTAGATAAAAATGACGTTTTCAGACCATTTCTTGGTATGCAACCACAAGTTCCCGAATCTAAACGATACGGAAACTTTGCACTGTGAAGCCAAGGGTTGGAAACTCAATTATTTGGAATCCTTGGCATAAACATTGCGGGTGCAACCTACTAAATGATCAAATCGATTTAGTTTACTCATCAGCTTTCAAATTAGCATATCCATATTGTCACTAGTAAACAAAATTCAGGTACTCAATCAAGCTAAGTACCTCTATTATCACCAACAGTGGTGTCATATAAGGGTTAATGTAATCAATCATTGTTAGTTTAATTAATTTGAAAATCTCCTTATAGGACGAAACTGCAGTAACGTTGATTACAAATAAAAGTGGTAAAAAAACAGAAAGTTACAATTCTATTTTCTTCATTATGATTTCCTACCACGTAGTTAACGGCTTCATCCATCAATATGTTGAAAATTGTGTGTTATACAGATATTGAATTCAGTTGAAATTTTTTGAATTTTAAGATCGTGACAAAAACTCACTTATTCATTATCAAATACTCACCTGATCTTGGAAATGTACTGACAAAAATATCATCTGATCTAGCAGCGAAATTGAAATAATTATGTGCTTCACGTTGGTACCCACTAGGAAAAAACCATTTTTTAGGTCCAACTTGAACGAATCCTGTTTTTTCTCCTAGAAAAAAAAACATAAGTATTTTTCATTGTTTATTGTATGTGGAAGGGGGTGTCGAGTTGTAACTCAGATTGATCTTTTGTGGTACTGTCTGGAGTCAGTAAAGGTACGGACAGTATTAAGAAGGATTTCCACCAAACGGACTCGCTTGCGACTAGTTTCGGTTTCAAAAACAGAAACACAAAACTTGTTTTAGTTTACAACACAAACTCAAAATGCGAATTCCACTGAACAGACAAAAATTAGTCTGAGTCTCATGTTTCGTTGTGAAACGTTTTCTAGCGTTTCCCTACAAGAACAATTTTATTATGATGCCTTCTCTAAACCAGAAGTTCCCAACCTTTTTGCACCTGCGCACCAATTGACTTTTTGAGAAATTTTGACATACCACCAGACCTAAATATTTTAATGAGCGTATAACATTTACTTTTCGGAAAGTGTTCAAAGGCTTTTTGGATTAAATTCCTCAGAAAACTCCATATTCAATGGGTAGATATTGTTTATTCATAATATCTGTATCTATACTAATATTATAAATGTGAAAATTTGTGAGGATGGAGATATGTATGTATGTTTGTGGCTCAATCACGCCTAAACAACTGAATGGATTTAGATGAAACTTCATATAAATACAGCTTGTACATCAGAATAACAAATAGACTACAATTCACAAAAGTTTTGTGTGATTTTGGTCTCAATATAACGATAAGTATTAAGTCGGAAAAATTCTTGCTGCTTGAAATCTTGGCGTGAGCTGCCTATACCGTTGGAGTTACATCCAGATAATGTACCGTAAGCTTGCTTACCTTCAATAGTGTTATAGTATATCCATTCCCAATTGAAACGACAATAAAAATAAGAGTACAGTCATAAACATTTCATGCCTGTGGCCCCTAGTAGTCCAGATAGTTAGTAAACGTGCTATCAAATATAGTTGAGGAATAAAGGCTCGGCTAGCTGGACTGGCTTAATACTATTTTTTTGTCCGTTTCACAATATTTCTTTATCAGTGCCGGGTGTTCGTGGGGTTAGGTGAGGTAGTGAGTGGTTTTGCTAACCGATTTTTGAAAGCTTTTTCTAGAGATCAATTACCCTAACACCAACCTGATATTAGCATCTTCAGGAGAAGCAAATTGATACTGAGTCTAAAAACAAGGGTTAGCTGTTTATATACCTGAAGTTTTTTGGTCCGCTGTGGACTTTGTTTGTTAAATGATGATTATTCTAATTGATTTTTCGGTAATTAACTAGTGGAACCATTACCTGCAACAATAGATTAAAAAGCGGTGAATACACCTTCTTCAAGGGGAAAACGTGTTATAATTTTGCATGCCGGGAATGAAAGTGGTTTCGTACCAAACGCTTTGCTTCTATTGGCCAAAAATATAAAAGATTCGTCTGCTGATTACCACGAAGATATGATTGCGGCTTCATTCGAAACCTGGTTCAGTGATCAGCTTCTTCCAAATATTCCTCCAAACTCGGTTATTGTTATGGATAACGCTTCGTATCATTCTCGGTTATTGACTACAATACCAAACAATAACCCAAAAAAAGCAGATATTGTTGATTTCATGCGAAATCATGACATGGAAATACCCGAAAAGATTTCAACGAAAAAGGTATTACTGGCGACCATAAAACAACGTAATTTCAAAAAAGAGTATATTATTGATTCGATGTGTGAAACACGTGGTCATATTCTCTTACGTTTGCCTCCATACTATTGTGTGTTCAATTCAATTGAAATGGTTTGGACCACAATGAAAGAAAGCTTGCGGAAATGTAATCAGTCACCGACTTTAAATGCTGTAGTGCTTGACAATATAAACCGAGTGGTGAATGAAGTAGGTAATAGTGATATGTGGAAGAACTGTGTGGCCAACGTTATAAAAGAAGAGAACAAATATTATGTGCAAAGTTCCATAAATCCGATCGTTATTCAACCCGATGATGATTCCACCTCATCCGAATATAGCGAAGAAAAATTTTGATTTTTTCTAGCAATTTTGTTGGCCTCTATTATTTTGTAAATATATGTTTGACGAGAATTCGGTGTGATTATTTGTGTTTTCATTGTATTTTAGAGTTTTCGACTCGGAAATCAACTACCTTAAATTTCGAAGTTTTTCATAATTACCCATGGTGGAAAAATTCAGTTGAGATAACTTTTTCATGGGGCAATCAACTGCTATGTTTGTGAGAATAAGTAACTGAAAAACTACCACTGAAAAATAATATGCCGACGCCTATGTCGAGGCGAGAATTCCTCCTCTGTGCTGTTTCAATCTAGGAGCGCCATGCTGCATTTTTCCTTATTATTCCACCCTTGAAACCGGAAACAGCGGCACAGCAACGAAACGTTAGCCCGAAAGCAACTTCACGCTGCCTAAGATGTTGCGGAGGTATCTTCTTGAGCGATGCCTGATGGGACCAGCACTTACCATTCACAACTATCTCGTTCAACTCAGCAAACCTTTCCTCAATAGTTGATTTCCCTGGTGCAAGGTAGTATCTATCATCAACATGAAGTCGATGATTTCCGATAATTAAAAATCGGATATGCGGTTGGTTACCTCGTTCAAAGGCAGATGGGGCGATGACAAATCTGTTGTTTGTTGTCCGCTTCAGCCTTGTTCGAGGAATGATACTCTGAAGGAATTCGATTTACATTTATGTTGATGATAGACATTACCTTGCACTGACGAGTGGCCAAAGAGCCCGAAACCGGTCTGCAAGTGTGTTTCAAAAATTGAAAATCTATTGCGGCAGTTGTATCACCACCAGCATATGCAGCAATAACTTCAGTGAGGAATCCTGCACTGACACATGTTGGATATAATCCAACGCCCTTCGTGGTATTAGCCAAGGGAGTAGTTATTTTCTGATAGGTATCAGGCTATTAAACTACAGTGTAGGGAGTAGAGACTGGCCTTAACGATTTGTTCTTTAGATGATTTGATTTATAGCCAGTCTTCAAATATGCCCACTGACTATACGTGAAAAATATTTTTTGAGAAAAATGAAAATTCACCTCATTTCTTAACAGACCTCGTATGTTTTCATGAAGTTTTTTTGTCAAGATAGCTCCAGAAACCAGAAACCTCGTTAAATATTGGCACATTATTAAGAAATAACCCGTAAAAGAAAGTTACTTGATCTTTCGTAGAAATCAGTTTTCTCTCAGCCGGAATTCAAGCCAAATTCATGAATAAGAGCGTAAAATAACCGGATTATTCTTATTGAAATTTCACTCAAACCGAATGCGTTTGAAAACTAGGTCATTTTTTATCTCAATGGAGTCGTTTGAGAACTATTGAAATTATTACATCAAAATACGTTTTACTGATATAAAAAAGTTTGTGAGGATGTATGTATGTATGTATGTTTCTGGCTCTTTCATGCCCAAACGATTGAACGGATTTAGATGAAACTTTACTTAAATACAGCTTATACATCAGAATAACATATAGGCTACAATTCACGAAAGTGAATTACATCCGTTAGAGTTACATCCAGATAATGTACCGTAAGATTTTTTTCTTAAATAGTGCTAACTAAAAGTCCACGATAGCGTATATCTACGTCTTATTTATACCACTATATGCAAAATACTGAGCCATAAATACAATTGAATTGGATACTTTTTTACAATGAAAATTTAAGAATATCTGTCAAATTTTTATAAAAATTGATACAATTGTCGTTTTAACTATTCAATGTACAGGGCGTTCCAACGAAAACTTGACTCCCCCTTTAAGTCAGAAACAGACATGTAATTGAAAATTTCGAAAAATATGTCAATTTTAATTTCTAGGGGACTGATTCTGATATGGAAATCATACTCGAAACTCCACCCTCTTGCGGTTAGCAACTACCCCCCTATTTTTTTCAATGGCATGGGGGGTCGAGTGATACATTATTTGGAAGGTCTTTTGCCCCTCTTTTGTAGTGAGAGTTTTGAAATGGACGACACTGTTAGTTTTTTCTGCCCTGGTAGTTTTTGTTGAATCTAGTTGTCGCAGAACAGAAAGTAGATAGATGGCTACTACCACTTCTTCACGAATTATTATTCAGTCATTTGACGGCCTCATTACAAGGATGACTTATAAGAAATATACATGAATATATAAGCACTTGAAATGATTTGTTATATAAAATAATATGATGTAATATGGGGATGTACTATTATTTAACAACGAGCAGTACTTATTACAACTCACAACAAGAAAAATAAAATGAGAAGTATAGTATTTCCAATACTGACTGGAACAGCAAAAAATAATATGCCCACATAGGCGTCGGCATATTATTTTTCAGTAGTTTCAGTTACTTATTCTTACAATCATAGCAATTGATCACCCCA